GGGTAGCGGTTTGCCCTGCTGATCGGGCCTTCGGAGCAACCCTGAATCCCTCGACAAACATTGCGAGACTTAGCCTACCAGGTTAAGCTTTGGCATTTTTATGTTCCTTCATGTCGCCTTTCCCACTCAAAGTATTTCTTGCAGGGGGAGCCCAGCAAAAACACACACTTAGGGAGGTTCGAAGACATGCTCCTTGGTGGCTGACCCTGATTATCACCCATTTGGAGGAGTTATGACCGGGGGGTAAATGGGTTCTGACCAGGCTTCTCGCTTACTCAGCAGCTGACTGCCTCCGCATTGCGGCACGTGGCTCACACTCTACGACGAGCTTTGAAGGTATACTTGGGATCGCTTGGTTCATGGACACCAGCTGTAGGTTTTGTATAGGAAGCTAGCCAAATGCCAACAAACCACCAATGCTTTGGCCTAGGTTCGTGCAACATTCCGTGGTTGCGCAGGTTGGCTTTGGGATTGTTTGCTCTCAAGACACAGCAGTCGCCAGGACGCCCAATCACACAGACAGATACTTTTGGAATCACTGGGTGTGCTGCCTTTTGTTCAAGCTACATTTGTTTGTGGCTTCAATGGAAATCAAAACGTTACTAAACCGATTTGGCTTGGTCCTCTAATATAACAGTAACATTGCAACACTTGCAGATCTCATGGCCTCGGTTCGCGCTCGCTTGCGTCAGGAGCTGGCGAGCCCTTAGTGCCGCGGGCCGTGGGTCGGAACGTGCCTTGTATGCCAGTCCGATGGGGAGGGGAGCCGAGACGTGCGCGTTTGGTTCAAGATTTGGAGGGCCTGACTTGTTCAAAGCCAAACTGCGAACCTTTGCTTTCCTTCCAAAACTCTGCTTGGAACAACTTGCAAAGGTTGTGAGGTATCCATAAGTTCTCAACGGCACTTGGGCTGCATTTTGGAGCCACCTCGCTAAGCTTCCACTGACCCCAAACCATGGCACGGGGAAAACGAGGTACTGAGGTACTGTATATGTTTTTTTGTTTTTTTCTTTTTCGTGGCTATATTGTGATTGTATATCCCGTCAATCCATGTGGGCAGTAGTTTGGGGGTAGTAGAACGCATCTTAGCACGATGGATGTTTCTGGAGTCATCGTCCTTCAATCTGAAGTCCACCAGTCCAAAGGCCTCATTTCTGAACAGGAGGCGCAGAGCCTGTTTTCCCCTTTCTCCTTCGGATCTGAGCCCGAACGAAAGGTTGAAAACCCTCTTGTTTGGGGAGTCTTCGTGAGGATTCAACAAGCTGGCGGCCTCCTGAATTAATTCTTGATGCTAGAGGGGTATGGCCATCAGCCCTGGGAATAAAGACCAGCCACCACCCTCCAAGGGCTGATGTTTCCATTCCCCCAAGTGCCTAAAAAGCAGCCCTTTCTGGGTTTGAACATGAGAACAGAAGCTCTTGGCATGTGTACTCCCAAGGGTACCATCGCAGTTTGGTTCGATTGCTTGTTTACCCAGGAAAGGCAAGCAGGGTGTCAAGCATGGTGCGGTCCCTTTAAGTTTGACTAACAACACGATTCGGTCAAAAGAGAAACTTCTTTGATCAGCCCGGTTTCCGTGGCGTCAAGCGTTTCTGGCACCAGCCACTTGCAAAACAACCGGCGAGCCCAGGCTTAGATGAGAGGGCGCGGCTCCACTTGCTGCCTCAGCTTCACTCCAAAGGGGCACGTTTCGCCAAAAGAGCGAGGGGATTGGGTGTACAACCAACAGAAAGTTTACATGGTGTTCTTGTTGTTTGTTTATTCAACAAGTCAAACCATGTGTAGCGTGCGTCTTCTTGGTGCCAACCAGGGCCAGGCACGTTGCAGCAAGTCTTTAGAGTGACAATATTTGGAGTCTAGAATGTATATCAGTAGATCTAAGTTACTGTTTCTTCAGAGGATTGAACCCCTTTTGGATAGTATGAAGGGTTTTGGAGATGTTCTCCTCCTTGCCTTTAAATGGTGGTATGCCCTGACTAGCTCTTCATTAGTCCAAAGACATCTAGACGTGATAGTATTCTTGGGGCACATGACAAAAACGGTGACCCGAAAATGGTGGCTCTCCCTTTGGTTTGCCTTTGAACCAACCATATCAGGAATCCACAAACGCACAAAACTTCAAGGCCTTTCATAAAGGTCGCAAGTGGCTTCGGCTGCGGAGAAAATTCCGCGGGCGGTATTTTCCGCAGCCTCGGGGCTGCGCCGATGGTTGCAGCGAAAATGCATGGCTCTTTTTAGAGCCGTCTGCCAGTCTCACTCGCTCAGCACAAGGGGCTGGCGGTTTAGACAGAGAGAGGGATCCTTGTGTGTCCTTTTCGCCTTTATGTGTTAAGATATCTTAGTCTTTCTTTAGCTTATCTCAACGTTCATGTTGAACGTCTCTGGATACACGAGGACCCCTGAAGCAACTTCCGGCGCTCTTCAATGCATGGCGCCCGCGAGAACTCTTTTCAACTCGTTGATTTTGACGGTTGTTCGGGATTTAATTCGAGCTTGCGGCCCCCGATGTCGCGCGCTTCAGTGATCGCGCGATCGGTTCTGCAAGTTGGGGCGGAGTGTGAAGAGAAGGATCTCACTTCCAAGATTCCCAAGTGCGCGGCCTTTTTGCTTTTGGGTCAGCCATGTTAGTAGTAAACAAACAAAGTCAAATCCTCACAATCCACCGTCACAGGTTGGGTTGCACCACTCACTCTGATGCCAAGTGTTTTGACTTTCTGCTTTTCGAGAACATGATATTGTCGGTAGACAAACAGGTTGGACTTGGTTGGACCAATCCATTCAGGAAGCGAGCGAATCTGCACTCAAGGGTTCTCAATACAATCAAATTCAAGGTCCGCGCAAAATCCAAGCTCACTGCTCGGGCTAAATCGAGCAATAGAGGTCTTTAGGGGATTCATTGCTGTCCTGTTTGTGAGTAAGTGTGTAAGTCTTGCAGATGGAATCTGGGCAAATGCCAAGGTGACCTGACCAGGTTTTGGGGATGCGACGGACTTCGAGCCCTATTTTGACCCTTATATAATATGGAACCCTATTGAGCAAATGTTCACACTTTGCAAGGCAAATTGGGTATGTGTCCAAACAGGGGGCCCTCGAAAAAAGGGACTTTTCCTTTTGGCTTCCCTTGAGCCAACCCCAAACAAATGCGCCATCAAAAAGGACAAACCGAATTGATTATTCTGCTGAGGCTTAATCAGATCATCAATTCCGGTCAAGCCTAGTCCAATTCGGGAGCTTATTCGCCGGACCTCCCGTGTTGTTTTGGTGTGGGTCTGCGTGCAGTCAAACCTTCCAACAAGTTGCCCCTTTTTGTTAGGTCCTTTGGGCGAATGAGATGGTATACGTACTACACTATGAGCGGGCCGTTCTGTTCACTGCCAAGTGTCGGCAATAATTAAGCAAATGATGCCATGATCATAGAGCAATAGGTTGTCTAGTCTGATTTGTTTGCTGATTCATGGTTGGCTTGAGCTCACGTCAAGCTATGCCAGCTTAGTCAGACCCGTGCCGCCTTCTCGCAGAACGGGCGCTGGCCCAACAGTCACTGCCGCTCCCAAGGAGGCGGCAGCAATATGTAACACAACCGCGGGGAAACGACCAACGCAAAAAGGCGCAAGATGACACGAGCATGGGTCAGTCATGTTGGCATAGGCATCCTGTCTAGGGTCTTAAGGGGTCTTACTATCTCACGCTGTGGGCTATTACCAGGGTCGATATTTGGTACTGTTGCCCAAAGTGAAGACTCGCTGCTGGGCCCTTGTTTTCCGTGGGTGTTAGCATTTGCCCAAATCAAGGACAGGGGCCTCTATGTTTCGCATGCCGCCAAAGGGAAGCGTACAAGTGCACAGAACGTTTCTTGTTATCTTCGTGGTTTAAAGGGGTCTCCCTTTATTATCAAAAGACCCACTCTAAACTTCCCCTCCTCCACGCCCTGACACGGGGTCGGGGGGGGAGGGGGGGGAATTTGGGTCTGAGAGAAGAGAATTGCATGTGTTTGGCTTTTCTTCCAAAAAGAGTGGTGCAGCCAATCAAAGAAACGGCGCCCCGACAGGTTCAACGGATTGTTTATGAGGGCGGAATTAACAAGTCCCTATTTGTCCCATTTCGGGAGAGACCCAGCCCGTATGGGTGGCTGGTATCATGATCCAAGATTTGTTGCGATTCATGAATTTGAACGAGTCGAAGGAATGTATACACGACCCATGTGGGCTTGAGCGTTGTTTAAACCACATGATCTTCAGATTAGTGGCCGGCCCCACTTTTGCCTGTAGTTGCTGGACATGAATCAGCTATGTACAAAAGGATGTCCGCAAAGGGTCCCTGATCAGAATGTATATCTAACATCTGTTACACCCACTTGACTTCGAGGGGTCCCTCATTCGAAAGAGTTTCAAGTGCGGTTCAGCTTCGCGTTCTGAGCACACATCTTACATTCGTGGCAGACAGCTGTTCGGAAGGGCAAAAAGCGCTGTCCAGGGACGCAAGCTCAGACCATGCCTGTTGTCGATCCCGGACCAACCTTCTCGATCAATCAAAGGTCTTTCCTCGCAAAAAGTAAAGGCGGCCCTCTAAACTGGGACTCCCCCCTAGTAAGCAAGCCCGGCTGTATAATTTCCGACATGCGCAGTCTGGTATCACAGCACCGCGCCCGAGTTTGGCTTTCAGGCGTGTAGAGAGCGAGCAATCCACATGCGCAGCAGCACGACCTCACCTCGGCAAATGTTTGAGGGACTTGACCCCCTGTTGAAGGCACCTTTCTTGGGCAACCCTTATTTAGGGTGATTGAATTTTCATCATTCACCTAGACGCCTGAAGCATTGCCAGGCTTGCCGTTTGATTTTGTTGCCTTACTTGTGAGTTGTTGTTCATTGGCGCTTTCCTCCAGCAGCCACTTAGCCCTTGATGTTGCCGACCGTGTTACAGTCTTGTTTCGGAAAGCAACCCGTTCGCTTGCGCTCCACTCGTCCGGCTGAGTCCTTTAGACCTTCCGGACCCGATGGGCCATGCCTGCAGGCCCTTGGGCTTGGCCTTGGGCCTGTTGAATGTGTCTGGAACCTGGGCTGGGGTTCAATCCATGGAAGGGCCCCAAATTAACCAGCACCTCACATGTTTGTCTCATGTAAAGCGAGGAGATCACCCACCAAACTCTCATTTTCCCAGTTGCCGATCAACTCAGGAAGCAGTTTTTGTAGGGCCCTTTCTGAAAGGATGTGGGGTTATTCTAAGCCGCCAAAAAGAGGCAGGGAGCTTTTGAGACAACCCCATGCGGTCGACTGACCAAACCAAGAACACGGGGTTGCCCCCCTTCCTCAACAAACCTATGATTTTTTAACGTTCCAGATCAATTGGCAGGGGAGCAGATGATTTTCTAGGGTCAAACCATGGTCAACTCACCTTGGGAAGGGGTGGTAAACCATCGGCTTTCACTGTTGCGGCTTTGGTCGGGATGCCCTTTTTGGCTAAACACTACCTTTGTAGAGGCCTGTGTAAGGTAAACCACGGTTGGGAGTGAACCACGTTTTGGGGTAAGCCACTTTTTCACATCTTGAACAACTTTTGGGGTTGTACCCTTGTTCCCCAGATCGAGGACGGGTTGGACACTTACCAGCAAGCACTTGAATCCTCAGTCAAAAACCAATCCAATTGACCTGCTCGAGAGAGAGCCGCCTTTTACGAGTCATCAAATTCCGCGCGCATGAATGCTAGCAACAGAGTCCCATCCATCAATGGATTGGTGTGGTAAGATGCCCGTTTGTTTTTGATTAGTAGTGTTGGGTAGACCTCTGTCACACCAGCTTTAGATTTTGACTCTTGGCCCTTAAGGGTTGGGCCAAATGGTCAGACAGTGAAAGAGCTGCGATGGCACATCGCCATTCGCAGAGGCTCTAGCCGATTCCCTCGTCGATGTGGTTCGAGGTTTGACACGATACAGGTGGGGACTGTCACTACGCGCTGTCAGTGACCCTTTTGGAAGACATGGTTGTATAGTGGCCTGGAATTTTCATCTCTTGAAGGAACCTTCCGTCCGAGAACCGAGGTTGGCGAATCATTCTGCGCACCGGCGGTGCACCTCGCGCGTGAAGGTTCCCTTTTTGAGGGATCCTGCACGGTCTGAATCAACTAGGCAGCTTAGGATATACAAATTCTTGAAAAATGGAGCCAAGGAGCTACCAGTTAGAGAAGCAAGGTGATACCGTCGGTTCACATGTAGGGTCATGAACTCACAGCCGCAGTTGGAAGGCTTATATCTTCGTATATTTACCAAACAGACAGAATCGCGGGTGTACGGCGGTTTTACCCTGGTTGCTGCAGATGCAGCAGAATATATTAGTAGCGGTTGGAAGGGCTTACAGCTTCATATAGAGCGAAAAGAGACAGTCAAGCAGAATCCCAGGTGTAGGACAGGTGCTTGAGTTGCAATGTTTGGGGGACACCCAGTGACTCACAGGCCAGCTTTCTTTGGCGGAGCTTTCGGCCCTACTGCCGCGGCTGCAGCTTGGAATGAAGCTGGCGCTGGGGTGTGCCATGTGGAAGAAGAATCACTTGTTTTTGCTATTTTTCTTTTTTTCTGGGGGCCTTCCCTAGTTTGAGACCCTTTTCTGGTTTCTGGGTCGTTTTCTGGGACCCTTCCCTAGTTTGAGACCCTTTTTTGGTTTGAAGTTCGAAGGGAAACCCAGCCAACTGCCTGGACCCTTAAAGTCCCGTGATGGACGGTTCAGGACCGGACCAAAACGGGTGACCCGAGAACGGTTTCTCATTCTTCTTCCAGGATCGCTGGGGAACTGGGAAGACACTGTTGGATGCGTTTTAAGTTTTAATTTCGTCCCTCTGACGGGAAAATCGCTCCCCCCTTGTTTATGCATGTTTGAACTAATTAGCGTCTAAGCAAGATGACCAAGGATTGGCAGTTGAACAATTCTGGTTACACCCCCTCCTTTTGGGCGAGCAAACCCAACCCCGTCAGCACGAGGAAGAAGGCGCCGCAGCGCCGGGACCAAGCGGCGGCGGCCACATGGCTGCAGCTCGCGATGTCAGCCCGGGGCCCTACGGCGGGAAGCTCAAACACCGCGAGTGGCTGAAAGTGGATCCTCTGGTTTGTATTTGTATGAGAAGCAAGGGGAAGTCTAGGGGGGGGGGGGTTGTTATGTTGAGTCAGGGAGAGGGGAGGGTGGTGGTGTGTTGAGTTAGGGGAAGGGGGCAGGTGGGTTGACTTGGAACCACTTTAAAACCAGCACCTCGAAGGATAAGTGAAGCGGAAGCGAGAACACCAAGCAGTGGTGACACTGACCTATTGCAAGAAACAGAAGATCAATTTTTGGTTAGGGCTGCATCAGGTGATCAGGTAACAGGAATCCTCCTTCTACCACTCTTCCTTTGCTTTTGTCCAACAGCTCCAACCATCCATGCTCAGAGCCTTCTTTCGCTTTGGGGGAAATACCCCCCCTTTTTGGATCCTTCCACCAATTTGCAGGGGCATCAACGCTTACTTGGGCCTTTGGAGGAAAGCAAGGAAATGGGGAGGCCACGAACAGAATGCAGAGAAGCAGCCTGCAACTATCCGCAGTTCAGCGGCACCCGGTCAATTGTCCACCCTAAAACGGAAGCCCGAGAAAGGCGTCCAAGTCTTCCTTCAGTGCCCTTCCCTTTTGGATTTCCTCTTCGTTTTGGCCAACCCCCCAAAGTTCACCCCCAAAGAGGGTTCCTTCTTTCTCAAAACGAGCCGCGCGCTCGATCCGAGGACGAAGCAGTGGAGCCCGAGCTTCGGGCGACGCTTCAGCACCCCAGAACCTGGACCGAAGCGACGCGTCGATTCGCATCGCATCGCGGCGTCGTGGCGCACGCGCCTCGCTTCTGTCTGTTTGGTTTACATCAGTGTTTCCAGGCGATTTGGCTCACCTCGTTTTGCTTGTCGTGTTTGTTTCTTTGGGTAATTTGTTTGGTGCGGGTTGCGTGAAGTTGGTCGGTTTCGGAGGAAAATCAATGGGGTGCAGGGCCAATGCGACAAGCAGACGAAGGCAGAAAGCAGCAAAAAACATTAAATGAAACAGCACACAACAGCCATTGACTTTAGACAGACAAAAAGCAACAATCATATGGGTTTGTCCTTAGGAACTGGTTCCTTCTTCCGCCCAAACCCAAACAGCCACCCATAGTCCCAAGCATAAACGGTCCCAAACACCCATGGTCCCAAATATTCCTAAACATCTGGTCCCAAACACCCCTGGTCCCAAACCCAAACAGCTGGTCACGGGTCCCAAACATCGGGTTCCACGCACCCATGATCCCAAACGCCCATGGTCCCAAATGGTGGTCAACACCCTGGTCCCAAACGGTGGTCAGAGCCCCAAACACCCAGGGTCCCAAACACCCATTTTTCCAAACAGCCATGTTCTTAAACAGCTGGTCCCAAACTCCCATGGTCCCAAACACCCATCCTGAGCCCCCCTTCTCAGCGAAAAATGACGGAGATTCCGGAGACTGCTGCTTTTTGAAGTCCCCTAGAAAAGCATGGAGAACTCATCCTCCTGGATTTCATGGCCGTCGCTACTGAGAATGAAGTTATGCTCCTTTAAATAACGCTGTGCTACTGATTTTTAGCAATACCTGACACCCAATCCAAAGTCTGTCTGTTTTGATGGAAGGCGCACGCATGTAGTTCCGTATAGGGCTGAAATGGCACCGTATCACATAGCAACACCTACTGGTAGAGCTTCTGCATCAAAAGCGGGAGATTGCAGCCATAGCCACATTGCGGCAATTGGCAATGTTCACATATATTGAAAGCATCACATGTTTGCACGGCTTCAGATGCAGGGATGGGCCCGATGGCGTTGGTGGTGGGTCCTTCTAAAACCAGGTTGGATTTCCCAGCCTTGAAGTAAGGGCTTCAATGCTGATTGGGGTTTTGGGTGCCTGTCATGCAAAGCAGCGCAAATCTGCGCACCTAAAACGCTGCGCACAAAATCCAAATCTGAAAAACACGGAGTTTGCGGGGACTTGGACCTTAGCTGAGATCCTGACACCTGATTGGCTTGAAGAGATTCAGCAAAGCATCCCCTTCGCAACTAACATGGAACTTTCGCCATTGCGTTGGCCAACTATCTTAGAGGAAGTGGGCATGCGATCTATTCCGAACTTATTTGCGCAGTCACGCGCAGGAACTCACAACAAAACAGCAACCTCACGCTCACTCTAGTAGCCGCTGTGTATGTGATTCCTCTGGAAGCACTGAAAGTGGAAGAAAGCCGAGCTTTGTTTTCCCTCTATAGCGGCCAGGACATTTGCAGCTGGGAATGCGCACGACTAAAGATCTACTGGGGAAACCAGCTAAGACTAGAGGCAGCGAGTGGTGGCTGACCTTTTCTTGTACAATCCCTTTTGAAGGCCAGACTGATTCCCCAAGACGGGCCAACCCTGGGTAAAAGAGGGCAAGCTGGGGGTAGTGAGCTGTGCTTCCAAAAGATGCTTGCGGGGCGCCTGGTTTAACGCCACATTTCCCAACCCACGGGGTGTTTGTTTTCGACAGACAAGGGGTGGTGGTTCCCCAACGCAAACCAGGCACGCGACAGGCTCCGGCCACACCGTCTTCAGCGACAGGCGGGCAGACCCAAGAGTTGCGCAAGAGCATCGAAGCCATGGCGTGGACAGGCCACATCGCGCTGGCCGAATTCGAGGATGGGGGCGCGAGTGCGTGTTGCAGTCGGGATGGTCCGACAACTCGGAGAAGGCGTCTGCAGGCGTCCTCGCCAGCTCCGACCTCTCGGCATTTCTACGCCCCTTTGCGAAGGACCGCTTGCCTGAGGTTTCTCCTGGAGCCACGCCTGAGCAGACCCACCGGCTCCAATTCTTGTCCGATCTGAAAGTCACTCGGCGAGCCATGCTGACGGCTTTCGGCACAGTCCTGGCTGCCGCCCGGAGTTGGACAAGATCGGCCCTGTGAGTGTGGACACGATCACACTGCCCGTGAAGCTGGTGAACCGAACTCACCTCTACGCAGGTGGCGGGGCACCGCACCTGGGAGGAAAGCTTCGCATCTGGGCAAACCCCAGACGGGCGGCCTTTGACCGCAAAGGCTAAGGCACAGTTGCTGCAATCGGCTCTCCTCTTGCGCCACATGCTCTTTCCTGCGTATGGCATTGTGCCTCCGGGCTCCCCCGCCAAGCCATCAACTGAGCGTAGCAAAGACACCTTGCTTCCGGCGCCTTGGTTGGCGTTCTTGCTCAACGAGCTTCTTGCGCTGGGGCGCCACAGCCTCCCTACATCCGACTGAGGGCTGCGACAACGTCCTGCGGGACATTCGGGGCACGCTCCAAACTGTGCCGCCTTTTGGACATTCTTCCGACCGTGAGCCTTGGGCAGGAGGTCAAAGCGTTGGTGCAGGAAGTCACTGTGAGCTTCATCACGAGGCTTGCCTCAACATCCGCCGCCATGGTGAGCGCGATAGGCGACCTCTCCTCCCTAGCGAGGACTTCCTCGGTGATCGCACCATTTGCTGCGACAAGGCCGGAAAGCTTTTCCGCTTCCGTGCTAACCCGGTCCGCGTTGAACCTGGGTGCTTCGCTCGAAGCCGCAGCGGTTGATGCCGTCGAAAGCGATGATCCGGCAGCTTTCGAACTCATCGGCAGACTCGTGTGTTCGGGCACACTGGGCATTTTGGATACTGAATCGGTGGGCACCCAGCCCCTCGTTTCTTTGTGCGATATGCTCCGCACTGAGCTGAGGAAGGCCACTTAAGAACCGACGGTTCGAAGTTGCCTTTGCCCCCGGGCTTCGACGGGATCGAACACTTGGTGCCCACCTCGGAGATCCCATTCGCGGATGCTGCCCTCAGCTCCCAAGTCCTGCAGGGGATATTGGAAGAAATCCTCCCGAACGCCACCCCGTCTCTGCGAGACTTGCTGATGCGTCAGCGTTTGACATCCCCTGAGCTGGCCGCAGTATTGCATGGTGAGGTGATTGCTAGTGCATCGCCTATGGAGAAATCCAGGCACGGATTACGTGCGCTGCCCTTCGTGACAGCCTTGGCGAACCAGCCGCCCATCGAGGTCCCGCCGCAGAAACCCCGGACAACTGTCCATGCCACTTTCCACGTTTGCTGACACCACGGCTTTAAGAAGACTCGCAAGGAAACCCTCCCCCGACAGGTTTCCAACCTTCTCTCCATTGGAGGAGAGAGCTTGGGCCGGCTTGCGATCCTCATATCGGAGAGCCTCACTGACGCCGCATCCTCCTCTGCTGCCAATCCACCGCCAGCTGCCACGCCCACACCTGCCCCCTCGAACGCTCCCGGCACCGCACCGCCACCCGCAGCTGCCACCCCCCCTCCCCCGCCACCGCCCAAGCCAACGCCTCCATCCACAGGTCCTTCACCTGTCGCTCCAACTCCCACCCCACCGGCATCCACCCCTGTCATCGACCTGGAGGCCGCAAAGGCGTCCGCCGTTCAGCCAGTGACAGCGAAGCCTGCCAGCTCTGGCTCTGCTGCACCTGTCGTTACACCAAAGGCCCCATCTGGTGTCAAGCGCCCTCCTGCTGTCAGCAACTTGGCACGCTCGCCTGAAGTCACGCAAGACTAAGGCTACGCCCAGCCCTGGTGCGATTGCACGATGTCGGGGACCTCTGGTTAGACATCGCAAGTCGGCTCCAGGCAGAGCAGATGCCGACCCAGGCACGGCTGGGCGGGAACCCGGAGAGGAGAATACAAATTCGGAGCAGAGCCCAGCCAGAGCCTGGCCTCCCCAGTTGTTTTTCGGTCCTCTTGAATCCTCCTTGTTCACAAAGGGTTACTTTTCCTTTCGTATTGGTTGAGCACAGCTGCTTCGTAGGTGATGTCAGCCAGGACTGCCCCTCCCCCCGCGTGCAACTGAAGTTTCCTTGGCGCAGCGTGTTTTGTGCAAGTCGCTGTCAGTGCCTGCGCGCAAGGCGCAGGTGGCGCCTTCTGAGGGACAGAGACAGAGAGAGAGAGAGAGAGAGAGAGAGAGAGAGAGAGAGAGAGAGAGAGAGAGAGAGAGAGAGAGAGAGAGAGAGAGAGAGAGAGAGAGAGAGACAGAGAGAGAGAGAGAGAGAGAGAGAGAGAGCGAGAGAGAAGGCCAAGGAAGAAAACGAGAAAGAGAGAAAGACAGAGAGAGAGGGAGAGAGAGAGAGAGAGAGCGAGAGAGAAGGCCAAGGAAGAAAACGAGAAAGAGAGAGAGAGAGAGAGAACGAGAAAGAGAGAGACAGAGAGAGAGAGAGAGAGAGAGAGAGAGAGGGAGAGAGAGACAGAGAGAGGAGAGAGAGAGAGAGAGAGAGAGAGAGAGAGAGAAAGAGAGAGAGAGAGAGAGAAAGAGAGAGAGAGAGAGAAAAAGAGAGAGAGAGAGAGCGAGAGAGAGCAGAGACAGCCCCAAAGAACCTTCCAAACAGTGGTTCCCAACACTCATGGTGCCAAGCAGCTGGTCACCGTGGTCCGAACAGTGATCCCAAACACCAAACACGCATGGTCCCAAACAATCGTCCCAAACAGTCCCAAACGGTGTACTGGTCCCAAAGAGCCATCAAGCCTTTGAGATAATTCCCCTCAGCACCGCGTTCTTTTGGCGAAACACGGGGGTTTGTTGTGTTTTCTTGTCGTTTTTTCTGCCTCGAGAGTCACTCAATTGGCCGCTGACCCCATTAATCTCCCACTAGCAGCTTTATTAGTTTTAGGTGGTCTTGGTCAAGCAAACAACATGAAAGTACAAAGCTTGGGTTTTCGTTTGCCATGCTAGGGTCTAGGAGCCCTGTCCTAGGAAAGATGAAGCAGTGAGAGGAAGACCGTGCAACTGGATACACAACTTGTGAAATTCCCTTGGAAACAAGTCAAGGGGTTGCAATCCAAAGTTGCAAAGCAGCACGGAAGTAGAATGACCCCTGGAATCATTTGTTTTCCTTTTCCAGCAGAACGGGAGCAAACCTCGTGGTACCAGGAGGGAGTCTCGGTAAACTCAAAAATGATAAACTAGCCATAGGAATGGGAATCCCACTTTGACATCGTGTTTTTCCGCACTCAGTCGAGGTAACCTTCTCGGCTTGGTCTAAAGGGGCACCAACCAAACAGCCACTTATTCTAGGGGTCCAGTCAACACAAATTACGTATTCCTGCCAGGTCCCAGCAGAACACCAGCTGACCGTACCTTCTTTTCGGTTCCCATTTGAATTGCTCCTCACTGCGTGGTTGTCCTTATGGTTTGCGTTTGATGTTTTTGGACAGTACTTGGGATTTTGTGCAGGACCGTCTTGGTGGTGGCGTTGGGCCGCGCTGCCAAGTGGCAGCACGCGCTCGCCGCTGTCCATGCCTGGGAGGCAGTCGAACGAGCCGAGCCGCAGCTTGCCGAGCGAGAAACATGAGCCTAGGTTTGATTCCACATGATTCCACGCATAAACATGAAATCAGCAACACAGATTTACTTTTGCAAGGAGTCTCCTTTAGGAATTGGACCAGATCCGGGTTGCATTTTGATGACGGAAAGCGCTTCTTTGAAGCGGTTGCGAGTTGGGCCTACAGGAGGGTTTGCAGAATTTCGCGCCAGAAAAAGACGGCTAAAATTTGGGTGTCTTTTCCATCTGTCCGGGAATGGCTCGCTCGCTGCCTTTGTGTGAAAAAACCTTCGTTTTACCACGCTTTTGCGAGGTGCTTTCTGCGTTGAGCTGGCTCGTTTTGAGGTTTTTTTGTTGTTGCTTTTTTTGGTCAAAAAAAGGCGGCGATTTCTCCGCTTCTCCTTGCTTCCTTACTGCTTGCGTGTTTCGCGCTTGGATGCCTCGGGGATGCTGGGGATGCTGGGGGTGCTGGCTGCCCAGTCAGTACGCGGGATGCTGGGGATGCCGGGGATGCCGATGCTTGGGCTTCATCTTTCGTTCGAGGAGCCTGTGTCGAGGTGCTCCTTGGCACTGATTCTGTTTCCACGGATCCTTTTTTTCGTGTGAGCAATGGCTTCAAAAAGACGGCTAATTGTTAGGCGTCTTTTTTGGATGCTTTTAGCGCTCGCCGTTCACTGGCTATCGCTTTCGGTCTGCGGGCGCTCGCTTCTTCAGTAGGTAACTTTGGAGTCTGTCGCCGTTCCGTATTTTAGTCGTGCTTTCCATTCGTTCCCTACAAACAAGAGGCTATTGAAAGCACTGGGCGAGCCGTTGGCACATCCTACACACTGATTGCATCCGTGCAAGCTCTGTTCGTCGCAGAGAGACCCCCAGTTGTTGCTAATATTCCGGCAATTTTCAGCGGGGCAGTTTTCGTTGGGCCAATGTGCTGGCTGGGCATGTTGGTTAGAAGATTGGCTTTCTCTGACTTGGGTCTAGCTGGCTTGGGCCCAACGAACCAAAGGCAAACCATAAGTAAACCAAAGGTACACCAAGAGCAAGCCAAAAGAAAACCAATGGCAAACCGCAGTAAACCAAAGGCAACCCAAAAGCAAACCAAAGGAAAACAAGAGGCAAACTAAAGGCAAACCAAGATCAAGCCAACGGTAAGCCAAAGGCAAACAAAAGGTCAACCCACAGCAAACCAAAGGCAAGCCAAAAGCAAGCCAAAGGCAAACCAAAGGTGAACCAAAAGCAAACCCAAAGCAAAAGCAAAGCACAAGCAAGCCAGAAGCAAACCAATGGCGAACCAAAGGTAAGCCAAAACGAAACCAAAGGAAAGCCAAGAGCAAACCAAGGGCAAATCAACAGCCAAACAAATGCACAGCAACAGCCAACCCAAAGCAAACCAACAACAAGCCAAAGGAAACCAACAGCAAACCAAATGCAAACCAAAGGCAACCAAAGGCAAACAAACGGTTTTCCAAGCGCAAACCAAAGCCAAACCCAAAGCAAACCAAGGGCAAACCAAAAGCAATCCGACGCAAACCAAAGGCAAACCAAAGGCAAACCAAAAGCAAACCAAATGCAGACCAAAAGCAAACCGACGCACACCAAAAGCTGACCAAAAGAAAGCCAAAAGCAAGCCAAAAGCAAACCAAAGCCAAACCAAAAGTAGGCCAAAAGCAGACCAAAAGCAACCCAAAAACAAACCAAAGTCAAACCAAAGGTAAACCAAAAGCAGACCAAAGGCAGATCCAAAAGCAAACCAAAGGTAAGTCAATAGCAATCCAAAGGCAGACCAATAGCTAACCAAAGGCAAACCACAAACAAGTCAAAACCAACCAAAACGAAACCAAAGGAAAGCCAAGAGCAAACCAAACGCGCACCAGGAGCAAACCAAAGCCAAGCCAGAAGCAAAGAAAAACAAGCCAAACCCAACCCAAAAGCAAAGCAGAAGCAAGGCAGAAGCAAACCAACGGCGAACCAAAGGTAAACCAAAACGAATCCAAAGGAAAGCCAAGAGCAAACCAAGGGCAAATCAATAGCAAAACAAAGGCAAAGCAAAAGCCAACCCAAAGCAAACCAACAACAAGCCAAAGGAAACCAACAGCAAACCAAATGCAAACCAAAGGCAACCAAAGGCAAACAAACGGTTTTCCAAGCGCAAACCAAAGCCAAACCCAAAGCAAACCAAGGGCAAACCAAAAGCAATCCGACGCAAACCAAAGGAAAACTAAAGCAAACCAAATGTAGTCCAAAAGCAATCTGGAGGACACCAAAAGCTGACCAAAAGCAATCCAAAGTCAAGCCAAAGGTAAACCGAAAGCAGACCAAAGGCAAGCCAAAGCAAACCGAAGATAAACCAATAGCAAACCAAAGGCAACCAATAGCAAGCCAAAGGCAAAACCAATTACGAACCAAAGGTAAACCAAAGCGAAACCAAAGGAAAGCCAAGAGCAATCCAAACGCACACCAGAAGCGAACCCAAACCAAAAGCGAAGCAGAAGCAAACCAGTGGCAAACCAACGGTAATGCAAAATGAAACCAAAGGAAAGCCAAGAGCAAACCAAAGGCAAACAGCGAGCCAAAGGAAAACCAATCGCAAACCACAGGTAAACCAAAGGCGGTCCAAAGGCAAACCAAACGCAAGCCAAAGGAAAGCCAAGCACAAACCAAACGCAAACCAAACGCAAACCAGAAGCGAACCAAACCCAAACCAAAAGCCAAAAAATCAACCAGCGGCGAACCAAAGGTAAACCAAGACGAAGCCAAAGGAAAGCCAAGAGCAAACCAATGGCAAAACAAAGGCAAACCAATAGCAAACCAAAGGCAAGCCAAAAGCAGGCCAAGGGAAAACCAAAAGCAAACCAATCCTAAACAAAAAGCAAACCAATCGCAAACCTAAGGTAAACCAAAGGCAAAAAGCAAGCCAAAGGCAAACTACAGGCAAACCAAAAGCAAGCCAGATGCAAACCAAAAGCAAACCAAGGCAGGCCAAAGCTGCCCAAAAGTCTTCCCCCCTAACAATTGTAATTTGAGGGGGGGAGTACCCCAGTGAAATTTCATTTTTCGTTGCACTTTGGAGGGGGGGGTGGTTGTGAAACACGGAGGGGCCAAAAAATTAAAATGTTCGAACGGGGGGACCCCGACCAAAATGGTTCTCCCGCTTGCGCCTGGGAGGACATTACTGGCCCTGGGGCCCCTCCAAAAACTGGTGCCTCTAAAGGGAAATGGCTCGAAAACCACCAGAATAATCACAACGCTTCCAACAAACAACTGCTTGCGGGCTTTGAGCGGCCACCAAACCGAACGCTCGTCCCAGAAAAGGGTTGCATTTTTCTGCGGAGTTGGGGTCCACATTATTTCAAGGGCTACCCCCCCCCAAAAAAAAGAAATAAATTGCAATTTTTGAGGGACGGGGATTTGTACAAAAACAAAGCAAAGTAAACCAAAGGCAAACCAAAGGTGAACCAAAAGCAAACCAAAAGCAAGCCAAAGGTAAACAAAAGGCAAACCAACGGCAAACCGCGGGCAAACCAAAAGCAAACCAAAGGCAAACCAAAAGCGAACCGAAGCAAACCAAAAGCTGACCAAACGCAAACCGAAAGCAAAACGAAAAAACAAACCCAAGGCAAACCAAAGGCAAAGCAAATGTAACCTAGAGGCAATGCAAAGGCAAACCATCGGTAACTCAAAAGGAAGCCAAATACAAACCAAAGGCAAACGTTAAGCAAACCAAAGGTTAACCAAAGGCAAGCCAAAGGTAAACCAAACAAGTTTGTATTAGAGGATACTCTCGCCGGATGCTATCCTAACCCTTTCAATATGATTCGCGGGGCGGGTGCCCTCTGGAGTGTCATTTGTGCTTTCCGTTGTTTGCCGCACTGGTTTGCAGGGAGCACTTTCAGCTGAAAATGGAGGCGCCGTCCTGCAAACATGTCTTTTGAAGTGGCTGCATTTTGAGGTTTTGAACATTCTTCTTTGGTCGGGTTTTTCTTCTAACCGGCACATACAGGGTAACTTAGAGAATGTCACTTCTTTGAGCTCTTTTCCCGGATTTGTAGCGAGCCCCCCGGTTTGCTGCTTCCGGGCCGACCTTTGAACCTGTGGGCCTTCAACTGAACCGTTGTCGGAGGTGGCCATCTTCCAATCGGAACGGACCATCAAATGGGAGATGTTTAACACATGCCTAGTGATCTATGAAATGGTTTGGATCGACATGTTGTGGATTGCACTTGTTCTAATTGTTCCCATAAAGTTCCCACGAATTTCGCTCTGGTTTCGTTCAGACTTCACCAGGTTGCCAGCGGCTGCGGCCCACAACCATTGCGTTCAGTTGCATCCCTTCCCTTGTCGGGGAGTCACCAAGTGGCTGCCCCCAAAAAGTAATTTTGAATCTGATAGCTCCTTGAGTTGTTCGCTTGAATGGATCCTGTATGTCACCGGAATGCAGTGTTCAAGAGTTGGCCCCTGTGCTGTCACAGCAGAAGGGCCCAACTAAAAAAACAATCAGACAAACATGTTGAGATGTATGAACCAGACTTCGGGAACCTGCAAACGTGAAACACGACGCAAATACCTGAGGCTCTCCCCTCGATACACCAAACTAAAATGCCCTGAAACAACAGGTCTGTTGCTCATGTCACTTGAGAGATGCAAGTGTTGTTTGTTCGGGCCTCCTATTGTGTCTGTGTGTTTGTGTGTCGGTGTTTGTGCGTGTATGTTGGCTTGTGTTTGTTTGTATGCTGAACTTACTGGCTATATTGAGGCACTGGAAGCCACTTTGCAGAACTTCTAGATACTTCTAGTGAGGTCTTGCAAAGATCTGTTTACATCTTCTGGCCACATTAGGTAGAAGGACCTATCAATCGGTGGATCTGTGTTTCAAGCTTCAAGCTTTGAGCTGCTTGGAGCATGTTGGTGGAACTAAACACCATTCGGTTGGTCATCGGATCGACCATTTCAGTTTAAACTTTGTGGATCATGATTGACTCTTCTCTGCTATCTAGCATGCCGTTCACTTTCAACAGGGGTCAGTGTGACAAACCGAAGTCAATCAAGATTGGGCCCCTCTTGGGACCAAACGATCTCTGAGTGCTAATACAGACTATTGTTTTCCATTTACCCAACAGCCAACAAAGAGGGGATGCATCGTGCTCTTGCTTTGATTTGTGTGGTTGGTTGTATGTGCTGTTTGTGACCCCCTTGTTATTGTTGTTTGTTTCATACTTGTTTCTGTGTATCATTGTTTCATTTTGTTCCTGAGCCCTTTTGTAGCACCACGTATCAACCGGCTCATTTGCCAGGCCTTGGATCGCCAGCTGCTGGCAGCTTCGATGGCGGCCTGCAGGCGGGAAAAGGCTTTCGTGAATTGATACAACAAGCAGGGGAATATGTTTTTGAGCTTGGTGTACGGGAATTTAGAAGGAAGCACACATGTTGGGTTCCAGATCTCTACTTTGAGGCAAACCCATTTTTTTTCGAACGGGGCTGTGGGTTATGCCGACTTAGTTGTCATAGGAGTAAACAGAGTAAGCTAATTTTTGGCTTGAAGCCCTTGGCAACTTGTAGCCCTGGAATGCCACCAACAAAAAGCCAGTGGCGAGACGGAGTCGTCGATCGCCTGGAAGCGATGCGTTTGGCGTTGCGAACTCACGAACACCCAAAGAGCTCCACGCGGATCACAACTGTCATTTTCGACTTTCCTCGTGCGTGCTTCGGTTGTTTGCCTGGCAGCTTGCAGCGTAGTTGTTCTGACACTCTAACCCCCTCTCCTTTCCTCCAAATAAGGTGTTGGTATGGCGTTAGTTGGGCCTTCTTTGTGGGCCAACGATTAGTGCTAGCCGTCCCGCCCCCAAGAAACTACTACAAAAGACAACATTCCAGGGATAGTGTGAATACCTTTTCCAGTACTACTTTCTTTCAGAGTTCCACAGATTGCCATGCGTAACAAATCTCCAAAACATCAGCTAACCAGAAAGAGCATGATTTTTTTGCTAGAGGTGCTTGGGAGAAGGCGGGTTCAGATTCGATGATCAAGTGAACAACTCAGAATGCATGATCCTGACTTGGTTTTGCATTGCTTGCCAAATCTCAGTTCTTCAAATTCCTTTGCCGTATGCACATTTTATCACATGCCCAGACTTGTTTAAGCCAACTCTCCCAGAGAGCAAGAAGCAGACTGTTTTAGACTGAAAGCAAACCTACCTTTGGGGTGACGCTTTTTCGGGTTTCCGTCTTCGAATTTGCGCGCCAACAACTCCAGGGCTGGGCCCGCTGTTTAAGCATGCTGTCACCTCAGAGAATTCCAGTTGCTTGCCAACATCCAGTTCAGATTGCAGGATTCCCAGGTTTCCACCAATGCTTTGAAGCACTACCTCTTGGGCCATATGTTGAAAGTAAGTTTCCTTGAAGGTAAGATTCCTTGGCTGGGGAAATGTTTAACAGGCTGGCGATCATGTGAACCCTGATGGTCTAAGAATCTATGTGTGAGTGCACTGGTGTTTCTCAAAAAAGGGTATGTGTCAAAATAGGGGTCAACACCCCCAAAACGGCGGCATTCAACACCAAGGATGGTACCCCTGCAGAAAAATAAGCGCCCAGAAGTCCAAAAGCCGCCTGGGCCATCGATCGGTCGCCATCCGCCATCCGCCCCGCCGGCCCCCATCGACGCCCAGCCGCGGCACCCAGTGGCGCCGCGCGCTGCTCCTGGCGGAGGTCGCTCCGTCGCCGGATGTGGCGATTCTCAACGCAGGCGGATGCCGAAAAGTCTTAAAGCAGGGCACATGGCTCTCTTGGTGACCTGACCCACTGGACAGGAAGCTCTGGGAGTGGGTTGCTTCCTTTCTTTAGCCTTTGGAGGAGGTTTCTGTTGAAAAGTCAGTGCCAAAAGGGTGCCGGCCCCAGAACGGGCCCGAGCCTTTGTTGTTGGGCTCACAAAGCGAAAGCGAAACGGACGTAGTTGGAAAAACCGGGTCCACCTAAACCAAAAGTCTGAAACGGCTCAAGGCAGGTTGGTCCGATTTGACTGTGGCCCCGGGTGCTAAGTAGCAGAACATGTCTAGATTCCACAAAGGACACCAGCATGGGATGAATCATGGTGGAGTTGTCTAGAGCCTCTAGTTGCCGATTGTGACCATACATTTGTTTAATGGTTGGAACGAACACCTAACCAAAAACAGTTTGGTGGTTGCATGCGTACTTCTGATTCCCCGCTTTGGACCTTGAATAGAAGCGACAATCTCCTTTTTTCTCCCTTTAGAACCACTCCCAGCAAGGTGCCCTCACAAAAGGACACACTTATTCCCACAACTGTCATGTTCTTTGCAGCTGGTCTTCGGATCTTATTTTGCTCAGATGGCAATAGCCACATTCCAGTAAAGTAGTATCCTTAAAAGTGGCTCCAAAGGCCAACCTCAAGTCAACCTCCCGCAAGCGTTGTCCAACCTATTTGGGCAAATGTTTTCCAGTTTGAGGGTACCTGAATTCTCTGCTTTTGGGCGTGGCTCAAAGACAGATTCCTTCAAGCCATGGAGTCAAAAGCCAAACCTATCTGATGGTTGGAAGGGAGCTAAGGAGCTTGGGGTATCCAAGTTCCCCTGCAAACAGGGAGATGTGGAGCTACAGTGGATGCCCTAAATCTTGCAAGTAAGAGAACAAGGAAGCCTAGTTGTCCATGGTTTTGTGCTGGAGTGGTTGGTTTACTTGCAATATTCAGGCATCAATCACACCAGGAGTTCTGGAAAGCCTTGGGGGGGTCCTTTTCAGGGTACCCTTTTTGGGTTGCTTTCAAAGGGAAGCCAACAGGACACCCCACCACCTTGTGAAGGAATCCCGCCATTTTGGGGGAAGGACGCCCGCATTTTGCGGGTCGGATTTCTCAGAAGAGACGAGCAATGACAGGGGAACTCGCTGCTCGGCCCTGGCGAGGTATCGCCGCGTGCGCCAAGGGCGGGCACTGGCAGCTGGGGCTTCACATCCTGCAGCAGATGCCAGGAGCAACGGCCGGGGCCTCTGAACGTGGGTCATCCAGCCTTAAGCTGTTGTGTTTTTGGGAGGGCAAGTAGAATCCACCAATAAATTATGCAATTTTTGTGGGAGGAAACGTGTAATCCTTCCTTAAACACTTAAACCCCCCTATTTGTTTGAGTTCCCTTGTCAGGGGCCTTTCGTGTTTTCCAGGAAAACTTCTGAGAATACGTTGTTCAATGGAATCCCACGTCATCCTCGTTTGGTTGGTAGGTTCCCCACCGCGTGGTGTCAGCTGAGGGAACGATACACTTCTGCGATACAACTGGAAGGCCTTCCTCAGTTGTTCATTTTGAGGGTCTGGAAAAAGCGGGACCCAGATCAAACTAGGGTGTGCTTGTTGGCCAACCCCCAAGGATGATCCTCACAAGCACTTGAAGACGGAACCTTCTATCGGTGTTTGTGCTACATCTTGGGGCGCCTGTGGGACATGCACGTTCGTCCACAAATGGCGCCTAAAGTGCACCCAGAAAAGATTGATCTTCCTTTGCTTCACAGGGACCCTGCTTTTGGACAGTGGACATGCAAGAAGCCCAAAAGGATCGCTCTGCCCATTTTCTGCAGTCCCCTATTGCCTCCTGACCACCAATCATTTTGCCAGTTGCTGGAGGCCTGTTCGCGTTGTTGCCCCCAAACCTGCTTGTTGGGCCGAACCACCAGACAAACATGGAGGTCAAAGCACTCGTTGGGGTTGGAAAAGCATAGGTGCCGCCCAAACGTTCTCGTCGGAGTCCCTTTAGTTTCCTACTATGTCTTTCCAGAACTCATGGTAGCTCCTCTCCCTCGAAGGAACCAAGATGGCCCAAAAAGGGTACCGGTACCTTTGCGTGGACACAGCCAACCCTTATACAAATAATTACCTCAGTGAAGCTGGTCGCAAACTCGAACTGCAGTGTCCCAACCATGAAAAACAAATACCCTATCATGAAGCTGGTTGCAGACTCGAATTTCAGTGTCCCAACCATGAAAAGCAAACATCCTATCATGAAGCTGGGTTGCAAAATAGAATTTCAGCGTCCCACCATACCCCCCAACCAAGTGTTTCATTGTTGGGCCACACTTCAGGGTGAGTATTCAAACCGATGCCTTAATAAAGCTCGCAAACGAATTTCCGTGTCCCATTCTGTGTTCCATTCCCCCGTACCAGCCTACCAGGTGGTATCCTTCAGCAGCGCCATCAGCGCCTGTGGTGCCGCCGCCCAGTGGCAGCGAGGCCTCGAGCTCTTGGGCGCCATGGGCGCCAGGCGTTTGAACTCGGTGGCGCCTCGGAGCTGCAAGTTGGTGCTGGGATATGCGAAGTGGATGTTGCACAGGGTTCCGTTTTTTTGACTACCCCAAGGTAGACGTAAACCCAGGGGTTTCCCTTTTGGGGAAATCAACCACCCTGGGTTTAAGTCGATGGGGCAGTCAAAAAGCGGAACCCTGATGTCGCAATTCCCACTCTGGTAAGAAGGGCAAGTGGTCCCAAGGCGGAAAAGATTCCTATGTCAGTAGGGGTAAGTGGATGAAAACATGGGAAGGGGGTGAAGCGATTTGGGTGAGCCCGCCCAGTGCCAGTTCCAACATGGTTTTGGGGAAGGGATTTCCTTTAAAATCAGCCAGCAATAAACCACTCAAAAGTAAAGCAGGTGTTGTTTGTTGTGTCAGGTTGTTTCTGGGCTTATGCGTGAGTGGACTGCACTGGTCACACGGACCATGTTGCATCAAACCGTTGTTTTCCGGACCCCGCAGGTAGGTTCCATGTTGGTGGATGGGAGGCTATATGATTTTGGTGGCACTTCACAGGTTTGAACCTTTTTGAGCCAGGTGGGGGATTCCTACAAATGCCGAGCTCACTGGTTCGGCGGTGGAACGACCTATGCATGTCCCTGCGAGGAGGTTGTCTCAAAATGCCCGGAATCTCCACTGCTGCTTGGGATGGCTTCAAAGGCATTCCACGGCTCTCGGTTTTGGTTGAAGTGGAATTTGTTTGTAAAGGGTGGCTACGTGGAACTCTCTTTGTGCTAGCGATTCCCACATTAGGAAGGCCTGCGACTGTATTCAAGTATACGTTCTAGGTGCACATTCCAAGTTTGGTGGCACCCTTCTCACCCCCTTCTCACAGGGTTCCCTAAGTTAGTCTCAAAATCTCACAATACGGGAACCCCCCCCAAAGGGGTGTTTCCCAATGGTTTTCCTTTACACCCATCGAAAAAGCGTAAGTCAATAAACACTAGTATAACCACTCTGAACATCACCCCAGCCAAAGGAAACTCAGTTCATATTGCAAAACGTCATGTTTGGAAGGACCGAATGGGGCAAGTATGGATGTTTGTGTCAAAGCGGGACCCCGAAAAAAAGTGTTTTTTATTTGCTCGCCACCTCCAGAAGGGAACCGCGCCGCAAACATCAAACAATTCGAGCCACAGGGGCAATCCTTCCCTCGAGGTGGCCTTCAGCGCCTGTGCCAGCGCCTGTGAAAAGGCGAAGCAGTGGCAGTGGGCCTTCGAGATCTTGAGGCGCGAGCCGCGCGACCCGCGGCTTGTGCCGCGGCACAAGTGCCGTGCGCGAGTTGTTTTTCGCACGCCGCGTGCAAGCCGCTGTTGAATTTTGGGCGGGTTGGTCAGGGGCGCACGGTTGCCCGAGGAACCCCACCCCAAAAATGAAAGGGGGGGGGGGCTGCGGGGGGATAAGGGAATTAGATTTGGATGTTTTCTGTAAACAAGACTTGAACTATGAGATTGAGAACTTCACCCCGCTGTTGCTTGAGGTGGAGCAGGGAGATCCTGCAACGACACCCAAGGGTTCAGAGTTATACTAAACCTTGTTTGGAATGAGTGTTGTGGCAGGGGTTCTTGAGAAAATCGACTTGCAAACTGAGGGGGGAAAGATGAGGAGAAAGCAGGCTGGTAAAGAGAACCATGGTTCAAAGAACGGGCAACCAACGGCGATGGGGTTTGAAACGTACCGACTTGTGACCTGATTCCTCAGACAGTCCCAGCACAACAATAGATTCCCAGACGTGCCATGGTTGAAAGACCGTTGCCATGGGGCCGTAATGGAGCAAGCCTTGCATGAGGATCCGCAGTTGTGAATACCCGGAATGGCACTCCTGTTGAGAACCTGAATATTCAAGCGCACCAACCACAAGCAATGGCAATCTGTGGTGTGACTTTTGCTTCATACCGGAACACGGAATGAAACTCATCATTTTGACCCGACTCACCACGGTCTGGAATACTATCTTCGTGGCTGATCGAGATCTACCTTTGCCCGCCTTTCTTGCAGGGGAAGCTCGACAAGCAGGGTTCGATCTATGATTGCTCACATGGGACCTGATTGAAGCCATGTTTACACTGGTTGGCGGTTTTCGGGTGACGTACTCCCCCAACCACCAATGCAAACGGCCAGTTTTTCAGCTGTTCAGTGGCACCAATTTTCCATTTGTAGTGGCAGCTTTCCCACTAAGACTGGACAGCCAAGTCTTTTGCTCTCAGGGTCGCTGAACTGGGATTCTGGTCATGCTCGTTGAACACGATTTCTACCAGTTGTCTTTTGACCAGCTGTGTTTCAATGAAAGCTGTGGAGCTTTCGCCTTTTCCGCGTTCGGCACTCAATCGAGGCGGATGTCTCAGCAGGGCGTGCCGCCCAACGTGGTGACCTATGGTGCCGCCGCCCGGGCTGCAACGAGGATGGGTGCTACAAACCTGACTGGAGCTTCAAGCCCCGTGTGCGGGAGGTGAAGGGACAATTCCAACAAAAAAGAGGTGGATATCCATTTAGTTGTTTATACGGTGTTGGGTAGACCATTTTTTAATGCCCGGGTTTGATTGTGATTCACTTGGCTGTGACTTGTTGTTGGCGAACCCCTTTGGTTGTTCTTGGAGAGAAGCCAAATTGCAGCAGAGCAAGACCAGTCTGACTTGTTCAAAATGGTCGAACCAGCCAGGTCGTTGCTGACTGAAACTGGAAACTGGGTTTGTTTCCAAACGGGGGAGCCTCAACACTAGAAGGGAACCCTGCTGAAAAGAGACAACTCCAAATCGAGCAACCACCTGTTGGTTGGTGTTGAAGGGAAGCCAAAAAGAAGCCATGAAGTTCAGTCGAAATGTTCAGTAGTCTGTGGTCATTAAGACTGTTGTCCATTACAATGTCTACCTTAACCCCACAACCTCTTTACCTATCTCTTGATTTTGGGGTCCCATAAACAGGTTGGGGGGCTCGAACAAAACAGGGTCCCTTTGAAGAAAAAACTGGAAAGCCATCGATTCGTTCGGTCCCTTCAAGACACATCATATTTAATATCAGCTAGGGTCGAACCCCTTTTTGGGCTTGGCCTTTGGGACGCCAAAGCCACCATATAAACTTTCGGGGTTTTCAGAGAAAGATTAAAACCTAGGGTTCCCCTCTACCTACCCCGAAACCTGGGGTTATTGTAGGGTTCCCCTCTACCAAACCTAGGGTTCCCCTCAACAGACCCACCCCGAAACACCTTCGGATGGAGGCCATCAGCGCCTGTGAGAAGGGCTCCCAGTGGCCTTCCTCGCTTTACTTGCTCCACTCCATGGAGTCTCTGGAGGCGGTGGCACGCTGGGCCGGTGGACGGGTGGACCTGTAAAGCTTCGGGTAAAGCGAGAAGACTGGGGGAAGTCTCCGGAGGGAAGTGGTGAAGAGGGTGAGTTGCTGGCTGGTGGGCGAGTCAAGCTTGCTGAGGCCCTTTCAAAGAGAGAGCTAAGGATCTGGCCAGATGTTCCGGAAGCACATGAATCATTAAGAAGCTCGCTCCCTGAGCTAGACCTTGGTCACGTTTGGGAACTCAATTTGGCGAGCAATAAGTTCAGATCCTCTTTGGTCTATGCAGCAAGGAATCCAGGATTCATGCACCCCTGATCTCGATTGGCTGGTGTCCCACTTCAGGCAGGCAGACCGCCCAAGAGAACTCCGAGCCCAGCCAATTATGTCCCGTTTGACTCCCACTGATCTTATTGGATTACCGGGGGAGCTTCGTGCAAGAGCACCATGTTCCTCTTAAACCCAGACCTCCAGTGGAAGTCCACATGAGGTTTTCCAGAAAAAGCATGAACCACCCTGGATTCCCGTCCAAATTGCCTGTGAACCAACGGGTATTCAAACTCAGCCTGGAAATGTGCAGCAATCTACCGGGTGTCCCTCGGCAATGTACTGCAACATTTAGGGCACTCATGCCCCTTGTGGCCCAGTGGAACCCCTGGACCTTGAGGCCTTGGAAGCCAGGGGTTCCTCCGGAAATTGGGAGCCCAACTTCCACAGGGTGTCTTAGGCTTGAAGGATACAGTAGGGCCAGTGTAAAAAGCAACACATTTAGAAGCTGATTTAGTGGATCCCTCGTAAATCAGCGGGTCTTTGGATGTATCCTAGGAGCCAGGAACCCTGTTCTCAAAGGCTTTCGCTTGTGAGTTCCTGGTAGCCGGGGGTCAGCAACGTTGACCGCGGATGAAACAACGAGCTGGAATCATTGACGGTCCGAACCAAAGCTTAAGCGTGGGATACATGCTCGATTCCCTACCCAAGCCAAGCACAAGCTATGAGCTGCAGCTTCAGTACCTCTCAACATCCAACTTGTTGTTTGTGGCTCCACTGAAAACGATGGCCCCCGACAATAGGGGTCCAATTCTTTGTCTAGCGAACGGGCTGGTTGCAACTGGGACAAAGGAAACCGCGTACTTGAGTATACAATTGTTTGCTGGGGTGTTGGGGTGTTTTGTTTTCCAAAAAGAAGGATCCCTAGGTGAGGTTCAGAATGGGGAAGTTGATCCTAGGCCTGGACTATGGTTCTATATACCCTCTTATCATGGCCGCAAGCTCTTGGAAATGTTTGGGCAAATCGTAGGGTTACTTGTCACTTGCCAACCACCCTGCCCCGTGAAATGAGAGATTCCTTCTGGTTTCCCTTCAGAATCCCTCCAAACCACAAGGGACGCTTGAAGCCAAGATTATTGAATTGGATGTCTGAGCCGTCACCCCTGACGCGTGAACTTCTGGTTGGTCAATGGTTCCTCATGGGGGGACTGAGTCGCCTTTCTTGGCTTCAATCTGTCCGAAGGTGCCTCCCAACACCATCTGCTGCAACGCGGCCATCAGCGCCTGCGAAAAAGCGGCGGAGGCGGGACGGTCTCAAAATCTGGCTGAGCTGCCTTGACTGCTGTTGGGTTAGATCTTTAGACTTTAACTTTTTGGGAAATCAAGCGGTTTTCCACAACCCCAAAAAAGTTTATCTTTTTGCAGGGGGGTCAACAGCAACCAAGCTGCAGGGCTCACCAAACGGCAATGCGGATGGCCCAAGATCCCAAGTTCAGTCCATGCCAACTTGTGAATATCTGCTGGTTGGGTTGGGAGCACTGGTAAGCTTGCTGGTTCTCATTCGGGAATGAGCCAAGGGATCCCTAGAGACCCCCGCACGAGCACATATTGACAACCGTGTTCTCATGGCCGTTTTTGCAACTCCAAGGCTGATTTAGAGCCATAGCAAGATGGCAAGGGGAGCCACGGGAAGGTCAGGACCCTTGGTCCATAAATGGCCCCTCATAGTCAATCTGCGGCTGCAATGGGTCCTCTTGCCAAGACACCACCCCGACAAGCTGTTTGCTGCATGGCGCAGGTGGATGCGGCTCTCCGGCTGCTCTGGCAGATGCATGAGCATGGGCCCAGCGCCTTGACTCAGGTTTTGCGGATCCACTCTCGAGGGACGGACGGCCGAACTGGTGGGCTTTGAACGGATCTCACATAGGACGTGAGTGAAAACCATGAAGGCCTGGCTCAAGAACCATTCTGCTGGGCATTGCCCGGCTGTGTGCAGTGCAGTTTCGCCTTTGGGCACTGGCTCGTTGTGGTTGTCTTTTCTTTCGGCCTGCATGTTTTGCTCGTTTCTGTTTTGGCCGGGGAGCTAAGATCATGATTTGTGCCAAGGACATGGTCCCTTCCCTTTGGCGGGCTGGAGGGTAGGCAGCCAGCGCTTCCGGCGTCAGGAAGGTTCCTTTCCGCGGGGGTTGTCTGATGCGAATTCACCCAGAACCACCGGGAGCCTTACCCACAGACGGTTTCCTGTGGCTATGATGACGTTTAAGCTGCTTCACGGATGCGGGATCCGGGGTTGGACCCCCTGTCCTTGTCATGTTCTTTTCCTTTTGGCGATGGGCTTAAAGGGAATCCGTCCCTTTTCGGGGGGCTTAGAGCAATAAAGAAGGAGGCGACTAGCTACGCAATGGCATCTCTGCTCACCAGCCGAGTCCCCTGAGACCCTTGTAGCAGGGTTACTAACTGAGCTAACCCCTACCCCAGAATACCCTCAACAGCCAGACACCCATTTTGAGACCGTGTTTATGATACCCTCAAAACGGCACACCAAAAATGGAACTCAACAAGGGTATCCTTAGGAGCACTTTTAGCCAACCCAAGCGTCGGCATCAAGCCAGTGCTTGATTTCCCGACCTTTTTTGCCCATTTAAGGTGAGCTTCCCTTCATAAAGCTGATGTTTTGAGGGGAAGGATAGGGAGCTTTGCATGGAGCCCCCACGGACCTCCGACTCCGCGTTTTGTTGTCTAGGACCGGACGTGGTGAGCGCCAACGCTGCCATCAGCGCCTGTGAAAAGGCGAGAAGCTGGCAGAAGGCCGATTGGCGCATGGAGGGGGAGGGGGGGGGGGTGGGCGTGCGTGTGGGGAAATCCAATTTTCAAAGTACGGTGATTTTGTTCTGTGTGTGTGTGTGTTTTGTGTGCGTTGTTGATAATATTATATATATATATATACATATGTAAAGATGCGCATGTATATTTGTTGGTACCCCAGTTGATGGTTGGCGCACTGTTTGTATGCTTCAGATAATTATGCCTTGTTTATCTCTTGCATACCCTGGTTGGTACCTGTGTTGTTTTGTTGCGGCACACATATCCAATGGAAACGAACTTGTAACCCTATCAAGAGTCAATACATCTGTTTAACTTGCGTAGGAAGGGGCCTGAACCACTCACTAAAACACAAGACATTCCCACTAAAACGCTACCCGCCTCACCCCCCCCCCCCCGCAACCTGCAACCTCCCCGGTGGTGCAGCCCTCCCCTCCTGCCAAATGATTTCAGAGAGGCGGCAAAGATCATGAGGAAAGTGTGGCAAGCAGACCCAGCAACAATCCACAGCAAAGACATTAAGACGTTAGATTTCCAGTATGTCCGGAAATCTTGACATATTATCCCAACAATCCCCCTCTAACTAGTCACCCCCCCTCCGCTGGCCCATGCCCACCCCTCCCCGCCCCCGTCTCACTCAGTTCGGCGGATTTAGCACCAGGCCTTGAGCCTCCTGCGAGCTTTGCCCACGCTGCAGCCCCTTGGTGTAGGGGTTTGTCTTAGAATAGGACCACCAGATGGTTTCACATGAGTTTCCCAACGTTTTACAGTTAGGTGGTTTTGCTCGCGGTTCCCCCAGCAGAATGTGCCAGGGTCAAAAAAACCCTTTACTCAGGGTTGGTAGGCATGGTCATGAATCTCTTCATGGGGGTTTTGACAACCAATGTAAAGGTTCCTATCAATGGGAGTTGTGTCCATGACCAACAAAAAATATGATAGCTGGCAATATTTTCAGGGGAACAGGCTTTTGTGGTCCCCCACCGATTTGTAGGTTTGTGGGTGTCGGTTGTTGGTGGTCGCCTAGCGGGTCAAGTTGGTAATATCATCAGCTGATATGGTAATCGTCGGAATTGGGGGACACCCTAAATTGGGCAGTTGTTTGATGGTTTGTTTCTCTTTGAAACCACATAAAGAAAGGTTCAACCCCAACAAACAAGACACCTGGACAGTTGAGGGAGGGTTCCTTACTTTAGGACGGCTTTCATCATCTAGCGCTGGATGGCCCTTCTTAGCCTACCTTGTTGAAAGCAAAAGGACCCCCAAAGCGCATCGGGTTGAGGGCTAGTTTGGCCGCACAGCCGAGTGGGAGGCAAGCGTCGGCATGAATGGTTGGTTTTCTGGCGGTGTTCCTTCTGATTGACACCAAGAGGGGGTACCCTCCAAAAAGGCGCCAGCCTGTTTTGGCCGGCGAATGGTTGGAGTCGTTGGCACCCAGGGGCCTGGTACTTTGTTGCCTTGGAGGTTTCCTTGGAGCTCCTTCCTGTAGGGTAAGGGACCGAATTTGTGTCTGCCCCTTCAAAAGGAAAACACAAGGTGGTAGGTTTCAACAAACCTGGGCTTGAACATGACGAGACAAGGGGTTGGCCCAACCATGAGATGAACTCAACCACTAAGTGCCCCGATAACCGTGCGCCAAACATCAGTTCCCCTTAACCTGGGGGGGGGGGAGGTACCACCAACCTACGCATGGGATATGAATGGGATATAATAAGGTTGTCTTAGGGCTACATGCTTCAGGGCCACATGATTGAGCTCTTTTTGATACATCAAGAGGAAGGGGGGTCGCTCGAGGATGCCCCGCCGCGCAGCCAAAGGTGTTGGATGCAGCTTTTTGGATTCGGCCATGATCATCCATGGTCAATTTCCAAGATTCACGAGAGACGTTGGGCTCATGCCCCTACCCCACCCGGAAGTGGTTTTTCTTCCTTTTTCGTAGACCCCCAGTTTGGTCAGGAGATTCCTTCAGAACCACCCCTGGAGTGGAGGGTCTTTGGTTTCGTACCTGGTTGTTCCCCAAACCAACCAAGAGGCCGTCCGAAGGCCTGACTGAGGGATCCATTGGGGTTCCCTTCGAGGGCTTGGCCTCCATCAAAAGGTGGCTCTAGTCCCGAAAGATGATGCCTCTTCAACTTGGTATTTCTTTCTGGTTCCACTAGATTCCAAACAGACGTCTCCTTTTACATGTTTACCTTTTGGAATAGCCGTTGAAAGTAAGTGTCCTTTTCGGCCGATGTTTACAACTTGGACATGAATAGTTGGAAGCCTGGTGCTGGTTCTCTCATTCTCAGGGCAGTTTGAAGGTTGAGCCCGGACAACATCACCTACAACGCAGCCATCAGCGCCTGCGAGAAGGGTCCTCTCCTGAGCTTCGTGCTCCGAGATTTTTGGTCGGGTCCATGCACCTGAGTTGGTCCCACCAGGTAAGCCACAATGCACGGGGCTATATGAATTAAATGAACTAAATGATTACATTCATCCTATGATTTCTATGATATTGCAATTGCAATTGGTTTTACAGTTGCATATGTTGCCCCATTCAACTTGTTGCCCCCGTGCATACTCCGGACATGAACAGAAGGAACCCATGCATTCCAAAGGAGCCTCCTTTGCGGGACCCACTGGTCAGTTCCATGTCGTGCAGGGGACTATGGGCCAGTTTCAAAGCATCCGTTTACCGGGGAACATCACCATGCGACACGGGTGCCTCAATAGGCCGTACACCCCTCTGTAGCTCATGTAGAATCACACCTGGTTGCTAAACAGCACTGTAGGACCTGAGATTCACAGGCCCGTTCGGTACGATTTGCCCGGTGACCCACTGGCCAGCAGAGCTTGTGATTTCACGAAAATTCCGTCTTGGGAAACTGGATGCAAATAGCCCAACACGTTTTATCTCCGAGAGGACACCACAAGGAGACGGGCATTTCTTCCAGCCCCTTCTCTTACAACAATGAAATCAAGGGATCCTGTGAGAAGGGTTCTTCAAACAGTAATCGAGGGGTTCCCTTTTTGTTGATTATCTCAAAAAGGAAACGGTCCAAAGGCAAGAACTCGGGATGATTCTTCTTTCAGGCTCGAATTGGTAACTGGTGAAGTAACGCGTCCACTGCTTTGTATTGGAGAACCTCTCACAGTTGCATGTTGCCAGCGGGCTTGGCATGGGGCCCGGTTTGGGCTCGCCCGACTGTTTGTGAGAGAGAGAGAGAGAGAGAAAACACAAAAAGAAGCGCAATACCGTCATACACATATAGAATAGAACAATGAAAGGACAGACAGGAATGAATCCCTGCATGCATAAAACAGCGATGAATACGTCATAAACGACATTACCAAACCAAGCAAGAAGCATAATATAACATAACAGAACACAACATGACAGCACATGTAGAAAACACATGAACAACCGCAGCATCAAATAGACAAAACAAATAAGTACATGCAGAAACATCAATAAAGGCAACATGAAGAAAGACAATACAAGCAGACACAAATGCAGAACGGCAGGATTTAAGTAAGGAACCATGCAACATAAACCAAAACAATTTATATAGTAATAACACACAAGCAAAGAAGATACCTCGTGATTCAAATTGCCAATTTTCGAAACATAAATAACACAATGACTGACGGTAGGAAGGAAGACAAGTGTACACATTGAATTCAATTGACAGACACAGAAGGAAATACATCAACCAACAAGGAAGTACAGACAAACAAGAAGGACAGAAATACATACATGAAGCAAGAAAGCAATTGCCTGATTGCCTATTACAATACAGAAAGAGGACAACCAAAGTCAACGTAAACCAATAAGAAGGACTTATGAAGGCGCCATGCACAGTACCCCTCCATGTCTGATGAACTTGAGATGGGCCTGCCTCAAATTCAGGGGTGGAGTTACAGGTTCATTATAGTAAGGCATCCTCAAATATACCCTCCAATTGGCAGTTTAATCGGGTTTCCCACCGCCAGGGTAATTTTGTGAACAACATATTCCCTTTGAACCCCCCGGTTTGGGAGGTGGAAGTAGGCCTTTAAGGGACGCTACAAGGATCACAATTGCGGCAAATGGCGCTCGCTCGAGGCCATCAGTGGCAGTGGGCTATGCACCTGTTGGATGAGATGTGCGAGGCAATGTTCCAACTTGGGCAGGGCGGGCCCTTTCTGCAGGACTTGTTCTGGGGTAAGCACATTGGTAGGTAGGTGATTTGGTGGGCGTTAAGAGTTGGTTTCCCAGGCTTCCCCTGATGTGTGGTTTCGAGGGGTATGGGACAACCTCGTGGATTCCCCACAGGGTCAAAAAGATTGCCCCGTCCAACGGAATGGTGGAAGCCCGCAATACTTGGGCTCGCCACTGCACTGCTAGGTCTCTGACCTGACTAGGGTTATAGGGCAAGAAAGGGATTGTGTGTTTTGAACAGGGCTTTGAGATACTTGTTGAGTTTTTTGCATGGACTTTGTGGGCAATTTGACCCTTGAATTGGGGCTTCGTGCTATGGCAACATGGCAATCCCTCAGCGCTCCATCAAGGCGAGGGAGCTCATTTTGATCTGGGGCATGTCTAAGGCACCTTTGGCGGATGAACCTGTCCGGCCTTTTCCACATTGCGAGTGGCCTCCTGTTTGGGGTGAAATGCCAACATGCGCTAGGATTCGGTTTACCGCTTTTGGCTCCTTCCCCGTGTCTTTTTCTGAAGCGACCGAGCGGTTACATGGACATGAGGACCGAGGGGTCCCTCATTCCATGGCGAATTGTTCACCCAAAAATATTTCAAGCCGCGCACAGATCTTCCGATTTCCAGCCATTGGCTCAGCAGCGTTGCTGTAAGACGCGTAGAGGATGCGCCCATCCGCGCACATCCGACGAGATGGGCAACACGGCGTTTTGCGGCGAGCTTTGCCAAGGGCAGGCCGGAGTCCTGGAGCGTTGGCGGTGCTTTTCGGTGTTTGTTTGCTAGAGTGCCCGCTTATTGACATGCCATTTGCTTGTTTGCTTTTGTTGCTGGCTTGCTGGTTTGCAAGCTGGCTGGCTTGCTGGCTGGCTGGCTTGCTTGCCTGTGTTTGTTTGTTTGCTTGCTGGTTTGCTTGCCTGCCTGCCTTTCACTTGTGGATTTTGTCCTTGAAGTCCGTGTCCCCAACAACCTGACGAGGTGCGGGACGGGCTGGACGCGGTGATCCACGACATGATCACCAGGCGCTTTGGAAAGCGGACGGTTCTCAGAGCGTAGCCATGCGGCAAGCCGAAACGGAAACCATTTGAGGCTGGCTTCGCGATTCGCTGGCTGGCTTGGAATTGACCATCTTAGATCGATGTCGGTCGCAAGGGTCTTCAAAAACGGGGCGCAGTGAATCCTTCTTGTCGGGTGGAGCACTCTTGTCCGCTTGTTTTCAGCATGCCACTTTTCGACGGTCTAGGGTCACGTTGAGGCTCTTCGAGCTCTGTGACATGGACGGAGATGGGGTCGTCACCATCGACGACGTCTACAGAATCGAGCTCACGACCTTTGCTGCGCACGTGCAAGAGGTCCACCAGGCGCCGCGAGAAAGCGGAGCGGAGCGCGTGCTGCCGTGTTCCAAGGGACCACCTGGTGGGGAGGGGGTTGGGTCTCAGAAGGAAGGGGTGATTTCTTCATTCAGGAATTCCGCTTATGCTGGTGAACTATAAGCAACCCGGCGTGGTTCATCCCCTTCCCCACAAGTCGCGTTGACGGTTCCGGCAGGAGGACCAGAAGCTCCTGCGCAAGAAGTGCAAAGCGATGTTTTATGAGCGCTTTGTCCGCAAGCGAAGCGATTTGATGGCCGCCACCGGATGCCTAAGGTTGAAGCTGAGCAAATGGGTGTGAAATGCGTTGCGGACCCGAGGATGCAGGGCGATTTGACGCCAGTGCGGCTACCCATGTACAAAGCCTACATGTGACTTGGTCGCTTAGCTCGTTGCTGAAAGGACAATCTGCTTGGTGGGTTCCACTCAGTATAGTGTTCCCGTTGCAGATACATGATGAGGTGTGTACTGAGTTGATCTTTGAATAGAACAATCTTGCATGTTTGGGTGTGGCGCTGAAACGCAAGGCACCACACATTGTTGAGGGAAACAGTTGTTCGCACGATAGTGGTCATCGGCAGCAGTTGCTTTGAAGAACGCTTGCATTTTGACATATTTTGACCCTGACCTTTTGATCCCTCCCACAAGCCCCAGAAGCACTCATCCTGAGAGCCGAGCAGTTGCCTGCCCCTCTCTGCCGAGGGCCAAGATGTTGAAGGAGCTAGAGCCAACTGACAGGCCGGTGTCACTGGTTCTTGTTGGGTGCAATTTTTGGGGGAAGACTTAAAATCCAACCCCAGGGCCAGGAGTTGACAAGCGTGTTTCCTAAAATACTCTGAATGCGCAAAAAAAACACTTTGCAGTTTGGACGGATGAACCGCTATATTGGTACAGGATTGGTTTCCATCCGTATGGGACCCCTAAGTGGTTGATTTGCCACTGGTGTCCACCGAGCCACCCACCAGGTTCCTCCAAGTGAGACACACTCATTGTGTGTGTGGCTCCACTCTAGAGACAAATCCATCTATTCGTTCGGTCGGGTTCTGCGGAATTTCCGTTGAGCCATGAACTCTGCAATTTTGCGGCCAGGAACGCGCGGTTCCTGATAGTCGAAGGATTTCTCATCGAGGCAGGGCATGCCGCTCACGCAGAGTTGGAACAAAGACACGAAGACTTTCCTGGCCGCGGCTGTCCACAAGTCTTGAACGTTTGGGAAGTAATATGACTGGCATGGCTGGGTTTGGAGTTCGCAACTTCGCATCAGCGGATTGAGCATCCTTCACAAATGCGAAACTGAGCCTTTGACGGTGAAACTAGTCAGTGTGGAGCAACCACATCAGTCAAGACCCAGCAGATCCCTCAACTGCGCACCGCGTTTCCCCTTTCTCCGCTTGCACACAAACGCAGAGACGGAGACCCTTGTTTTTTCGCGTTGAAATGGTTCTGTCCCTTTCTCGGGTGGGAGACGTAATGAAATGCTCAGGTGAGTCACAATCAACAATCCCAGAAATATGTGCGGCCGCTTTTTTATTTCCTGACATGGGTTTGAATAGATATGTTTCCTCCGGGGCCTCGAGCAAAGGCATCGATCAGGAATCAAGCCCAGCCGCCAACGACGCCAACAGGTACTGTGGATGGACGAAATCCATTTCACACCACCTAAGAACCCCTGGAATGATTCACCTGTAAATACCAACAAGCAATGGTTTCCCATGGTTTCAAAGTGGTGCAGGATTTTGTCCATCCACAGTACCTTTTCTGTTGGACTCCTGCCGCGGCAGTCGAGGCCCAGATGGGCCGCCAGATTGTTGAGCGACGGCCCGGACCCTGGGCCCCGTCCGTTGCGAAGGGTTGGGGCGTTGACTTTGCGGATGAAGGGGCGGGGGGGGGGGGGGTTATTTGGAAAGATGTTGCAAGGGACTGAGTCGGGCTGGGAAGCCGGCAAGCCTGTCATGGTGCCCATGTAGAGACACGAGCCGGGCTCCAGAAGACCACATTATAACTACATGGCTTCGGGCTTTCACGCGACGCAGCCTCGAAAGGCCAATGAGACTCCCCACGGGTTCCCAACGTGAAGCACCCAAGGTTCCCCAAACCACACACACACACATATCGAATTTTCATGTTTCACATTCCTGGTGCTGAAAAATGTGGGGCTGTCAGGCTTGAAGCAGGGGAAGAAGCAGGGGAGGATGGAGGTTTGTGGATGCTCTTCCTTTTCACTTGAGTTCTGCTTAGGGTTGGGGCCTGGAGCTGTGCCAGACCTGTTTTCATCACGGAATGGCACAAGCTTGGGCACTTGGAGCATTCCTGGCCTTAGTCAGGGCAAGCCGTGGCCCGTGGGATAAACGTGTCGGCAACGTGTTGCGAGCAAACGCCCGGCCCAGTGCGGCGCGGGAGTTGCCGACGCTCCTGACTAGCATCCCCCAGCCACGCGCAGGTGGGACAGGGCTCGTGTTTTTTCGGCTGTCAAGGACTGCGCAGGGGTATTTCCCCAAAGGGTTTGGGCCATGGCCTAGGGACCCTTGCGGTTGGGGCGGTTTGGGCTGAGGTGGGCATCGCGGGGACGAGCGCGGCGTTTCCAGAAGTGCAATCTGGAAAGTTGCCACAGACTGCTGACATGTGGGACGTAAAACCCAAAGCAGCCCCCGGTTTCCTCCGAAGTAGGTTCCATTTTGCCAACAACCCTGCGGCATGGGCCAACAGAGACAATTTCATACTTCAATGACCTTAGAGTTAAAACCGCATTGTTTTGAACAGCATTTGTTTCCAGCTTGATCAAGGGCTTCTCGGTTGGCGTTCCCGCCGCTTGCGCCTGGGCCAGGTGCGGAGTATTCACCCAGCCGAAAGGCCCGAGCCTTGGAATGGGGGTTCCAAATGCGGGAACCGAAGTCTTCCCCGGTTCCAAGGACACGTGTTGCGGGGTGGAAAATGAAGACCCAGGGGGGCCTGGAACAAGATTGAGCCATACTTTGGGAGGTTTCATCTGACCAACCTTGGTTTTGCAGGTGGCCGGGCGGCCGCTGGCTGGCTGAGCTGTTAAGCTACTAAAGTGAGCTGCTTAGCTGGCTGGGCCAGCCGCTCCGCAGGCCTTTCGGTGGTGTGGAGAGAGACCTGTTGAATCTGGCCCAACGCGTGGCTGATGGACGAGTCATACTGGGACGTCCTAGTTTGTTCTTCAATTACATGTCTTCGACATATCAAACATATGATTTGAGAACCTGCCTGTACGTCCGGTTCAGCCAATGGGTGTTTCCTTTGTATGCCTGCGTATTGCAACGCTGCTTTCTTTGCCAATCCACAAATGGTATTGAATTGTCCGACATGTGATTTAAACTACAGCCCTCCGATTTCAAGCTACAGCCCTCCGACGACGTGTGCTTTGCCACACTTTCTATTTCAGCAGGCACGTCGCAATGATTTGGTCCCAATGGAACTTGATGGAACTAGACTGCCCACGCCACTGAAGGCCGCGTTGCCGATGAAAAGGAAGAAGCCCACAATGCCTGGGCTTTGTTACCTGGTGATGTATTATAGTGTAGGGCTGGAACGGGATGGTGATGCACCTTTTTTCTAAAGATCTTTGTGAC